TGGTCCGTTCTTGTTTTTGTTACAGCCGTTCTAAGAATTATTCGAACAGTCAGTTAGCAAAATGACTTGCAACTTTACAAAACACTTTGGACTTTGCCCAAGTCTGAATAATTCTCAGAACGGCTGTAACGCTGTAAGCTTTTCTTTTCTTAAATTCCACATGAACATCTAATTAAATATCATGAATATATTATTAATCTTTACTGGAAGTATCATTTAAAATAGAAGGGCAGACGCTAAACAAACAAAATACCCACACACAATCCTTCCATAAAATCAAATTACGAGAAATAAATATTTAAACAGCCCCCCATGATGCTTGGACACTCACCTGTGATACTTTCCATTTGCCAATGATGCTTGAAATTAAATTAAATCATTGATGCTCAAATTGCTCTGTTTACAATATTTATTCTCGTCTGGCATGAATTTAAACTAATAAAATGCATTGATCGAATAGAAATCCACCTTTGTAGGCAATACAGTGGTAGACACGCCATGTCATTTTCAATATGGGTCTTATAGAGATGTACACAACACATGTAAAATACATTGTAGCAGTAGTTTGTAGTATTCGTTGCATGATTTATATATTATGTGAGAGACGTACAATATCTATACTTAAATGAATGTATAAACTGTCTTTTTTTACCTTGGCTATAATAATAATAATTATTATTATTATTATTATTATTATTATTATTATTATTATTATTATTATTATGTGTTTATTTCAGATCATAAAAAATCCATAGCAAAAAAAAATACAAGTCAAAAAATTCTCTTCTCCCATAATTTCCATATTAAACTCTGGGAATGAATTGCAATGTACAATGTTGTTGTTACAATGGGGTTAGATGAAAGGTGCAGTCTACCCATAAAGCTAAATGTCTTTTTCCGAAGAATTTCATCAAAAGATCTAATATAAAGATTAACAAACCCTGCCCTATTACTCTGTACAATAGAATGTGAATACCCAGATAATTTACGAAACACAAGTGAGTGTGCTCTCCTAATAGAGTTAAAACTACAAAGTGTAAAATATGGAATATCACAAAATACAGAAAATAAATGACATTTAACAGCTAAGGACACAAATTTTAAATCACGAATAATCACGTTGCCTCTCACATAAAAGAGACGAGATTTGGCCTGAATGTCAAAGTTGTCATTAAGGTCACTAGTGATCAAGTGTCCCAGATATTTATATACAGTGACGTAATCAAGTAGTCTACCACTTAAATAAATTGACACATTCCTTAACCTTCGAAAACGAGGCTGAATTAACATACATACAGTTTTTTTCTCATTAAAAAAGATAGAGTTAAGTTTGCCATACCGTCCACAAGTATCAACTAGTAATTGTTGACCATACACTTCTGTGCTGAATACGACAATATCGTCAGCGTAAAATAAATGATTGATTCTCCGACTCCCTATTAAACAACCAAATGGAAGGGAGGACAGTTCATTACTGAGGTTATCAAGATAAACTGTAAAAAATATAGATGAAGAGATCCCACCCTGTTTCACACCGTTTGTCGAATGAAAAACATCAAAAAAACAATTATTCCATCTAACAACAATAATAATAATAACAATACTAATAATTAATAATAATATTAGTAATAGTAATAATAGTAATTATAATAATAATAGTAATAATAATAATAATCATAATAATCATAATAATAATAACAATAATAACAAGGAATTCATTGCATGTTATAGTGTTTACCATGTCTGTTGTAACCACTGTCATTGTTTTTAGCAATTTCCTTGTACACATGATAGCTCAAATAATTGTGATTGAATCTTTCTCTAACTTTTTCTAATAATAGTTTCCAAGTTCATTATATATGACCGTCAATAGAGTATGTCATTGTCATCGTTGTCCGCTTTGTTAACAATCTTCTCATACACATAATATCTCTTATTAAATTTTTTTTTTTTTTAAATTGTAGGTACTGTTACTAAGTCTATTATAAATAACCTTCAACTCGGTTATGAATATTATTTTGTCATGAAAGCAAGTACTAAAGTTGGAGAAGGTCCCGCTACAGCTCCTATCCCATTTAAGATGCCTGGTTCCTATTCTTACGACATCAACACTGAACATCCTACTGGTAAGTAGTTACCTGATACAAATTTTGGCAAGGTTCTCATAGTCTGAATATATTTTTATCTTCTTTTTTTTTTCGGTACTTAGTACCTTAGTCCTAGCACGACTCGAAATGATCATATTGTTAACATCTGAGTTCAAAAGTCAACTACAAAGTAAAATGCACATAATTTTTTTGTTGTTGAATTAAGGGAATTGATTTGAACCAAAATTATTCTAAAAAAATAATAATAATAAAAAAAAAAACATAAAAAAGTGCAAATTTATTTAACTCCATTGAAAGTTACTTTCTAGGACCCCAGCAAAAAATCAATGTGACTCTCTGTCTTGAGAATTGCAATGAATTATTCTCTACTAAACAAAATCCAGCAATTTTTCCTACTCACGAAAATTTGTTTCTTGTAAAATTAAAGTACTTTAAGATAGTATTAATGCAGGTACATTGTTTGAAATTTGCGGCTTGCCTGATCTAGATGACTGGGTGAATGTGGAATTGAAACTAGTGTGCGGCAGTTTGGGTGAGTGAAAAGTGGAATGCATTACATTAGTGCTGTTGCTTTTAATACCAGCTTCCTGCTTGACAAATTCAAGTGACATTGCCTTGACCAATCATATTCAAACACATATACATTATGTACTTGTATTTGTTCTCACAATCTTATTCAAGATGGCTGAATGGCGGCCATTTTAATGTTAAAAATGCATCTGAAACGAGCATTTCTGCCATTCTGGAACAGGATTTTGATCATACATCTTGTTCAAACTTGGTGAATACATTGAACACAATAGAACCGTGATGGTTTTTTTTGTTCAGATTAATAATAGCTTATTGACAGAATTTTTAATAAAATTTTAATTAATTTTATAATAATCTTTACAAACACTTCATTGTACATCATGTTATACTAATATGCATTTTTTTCAAACTGATTCAAAATGGCTGACCCATTTCAGTGTTGTTTACTAGTTTACTATTCAACACTGGGTGCTCCATCTGAAATGGTTGCCGGGTGGCCATTTTGCTTTTAAGCTGACATTAAATTTCCTTTCCTCTAAGGCATTCATTGACAAATTTGATACCAGCATGCAAATAGTGCAAGACATGATTGATCTGTGCCTGCTAGATGGCTAAAAATTATGTTTTTGTGAATTTTTCAGTGATTTCCAGCACCATTTCGTCCTTTCTCATCAACTCTTCTATGGACATGATTAGGCCAGTTTCAATCAAACTTGGTATGAAGATCCCTGATGGTGGGTTATACTGATGCATGTCATATTTTTTTTTTTCATCTAATTTCTGAGAGTAATTTTATTCAAAGTTCGTACTAGCGTTTATCGTTTTTTCAATCCAATTTGGCTAGCCGTCTGGCAAATTCTTTTTAGCACCGCTGTCGACTTCGTCAAGCGAAGCACATATTAGTGATTGTCAGTCGTCATGATCTGTCGGTGTCTGCGTCAACTTTTTCGACTTCTTTTTGAAAGTCTGATTGCTTTGATATTATACATCTAGGTACCTTAGGTGGACCTCTCTCAGATTTGCTTTTCGTGATGATGATATCTTCAATTCTCTAATTTAGATGAATATTTTTGCCAATATTTTTGGTAAAACATGATATTTTCGACTTCTTGTTGAAAACCTCAGTCTGAAAGCTTTGATATTATACATATAGGAACCTCAGGTGAGCCTCTTTCAGATTTGTTCTTTTTGTGATGTTTTCAATTCTCAATTCTTTTGGTAAAAAGTGATATTTTTGCTGTTTGCTTTGGTATTATAAATAAAGGTACCTCAGGTGGACCTCTTCTCAGATTTGTTCTATTTGTGATGATATCTTCAATTCTTTTGGTATACAAAGTGATCTTTCGAACTTTGTCTTGAAAACCGCAAGTCTGATTGCTTTGAAAATGAACATATGGACTGAACTCAGATTTGTTTTGTGATGATATCTTCTATTCTGTAATTGAAATGTGCATTGCTACCATATTTTTGTCAAAAATTGAAAAGTTATCATCAGTCGGTCTGTGCGAGAAGGGGGGAGGGTGATTTATTTGCTGGTTTGCCTGGTTCCAGGCATTCTGATGAGCTGTTGAATTTTCACATAGTGAAATCACCCCCCCCCCCCCATGCGAATGAAATTTATATACCGTACTTATCCGAGTAAGAGCCCATGTCGGGGCAAACGCCCACCCCCCACTTTTGACACAATAAAGAAGTTGAGGTCATTATCGGGCACACGCCCAGGGGGTCTTTTTTACACAAAAAACTATTTTCTATTCATTGACTCTGGTTGTATTAACAGTTGACTTTCTTGAAGTCTGTTGTGATGCTTATAAAAATTCTTTAAATATAATTGTTAATTGAGTAAAACAAGGGGTAAACCGGCCGGCTGTTTGGTTTGTGCTTCCTTAGAAACGATTCAAGCAAATCGTATAAGGAGAGCCCCGAAGCAAGTGTCGCACTCGTTCGGCTTTAGCGTCGTTGACAATGAAACCAATGTTGCAATATTGTAGCAACCCGTACCTGGGAGAGGGGTTTAAATCACATTATTTTGGCTTTATAAAATATTTTGTAGCAGTTTGCGAATCCATAACTGGGGTCAGCAATTTTGCAATGTCACGCCAAAGACTGACAACTTTCTTACCTTCTTTTTTCACCGCTATTGCATTTCTGTCATGAAAACTATTCTTCTGTTGTTGGATGAAAAAAAAACTTCCTATTTCAAGTCCACCGCGATATCCATATAATGAGACATTCCAACCACCGGAACTTGCTGAATGATAACTTTTACCGTGATTGATACCGGTAAGCGTCAAATCTGCTAAGAAAGCAATGTCACGATTTGAGATAAAAATTTGTATTTTCAGATATGAGGATTTTTATCGACACAGAAAGACTATGGTTCCTCCCATTGACTTGCAGAAGGGCTATGGTTCCTCCCATTGCGTATTAAACACAAATGTGCAACGCCAAATGGCGTCACTAATAAAAGTCGAGGGACAAATTTGACTCATGCTTATTCATTTAGTATGGACATTTGTATTCTTTTTTGTGTGTGTATGTGTGCATGTGATTGTGGAACTGTTCTTTCATGCACTTGTCATTCTCACTGCTGCCTAGCAACAGCTCTTCATATTACTACTACCTAACCTCATTTATCTTACATTTCATCTTTTGTTTGTTATGTATGTATAAGTGTCTGAATTTGTTGTGCTCCTATATGATGTTCAATAAATCGATGACAATGGAATCGATATTGTTTGTATTGCATATTGTGTTCGTTTATTGGGAGACGGCACTTGGTGGAACAGCGAAAACATTCAATTGTGTTGATCATGTGACTCACTGCTGCATGTAGTTGTATATTTCCATATTTATTTAAAATCGTTTGTTGCAATTGTTCATTGATGAGCTCCACTGAGAAATGATAGATGCAAAATTTTACTCGGACGTAGCTTATAATAAAAAAAAATGCATTAAAACGGTACCACAAGAACAGTTATTATGCCTCTTCGCAAGTTTTGTTTCTGGAAAAATTATGAGTACTGGTCAGTCAGATTGCGTCATTCAATTGTTTGAATGCTTTCGTCATGTTTCACAAAATAATCGCATAATTTTTCCTTATTTTGTTTTAATTTTTTCAAAACTCGTAATGTAGCCAGTGGGAAATTTAATCTGTTTGGTCCAAAATAAACGAAACAATTATAGACAAAATACTTACATTGGTTCAACATGTCGCCCACAAAATTTTGGCGGGAAAAATTATGCCATTCTAAGAAGTTGTCTGTTCAGTATTTTTGTGATGAGATTTTGATAGATTCTTTGTTTGTTTTCAGGAGCAAACTGACAATGATCATATTATCAACAACTTGAAGTTTTCATTGACAATCGCTGGGCCTATCTTCCCTTTCAATAGAAGTTTTGTAAAATTTTATGCGGTTAATTTACAATAATTTTAAATTGACATCATGAGGTGGAACCAGAATTGATTCAGATTATTTGTGTTTAATAGTTTAGTTCAGCTTGTTGCTTTTGTGTGTGTTGATTCTTATGATCACCGAAAAGAATTATAAGAATTTTGTATTTTATAAAACGATAATAAAACGTTTGATGACTGTGCGTTTTCACGTCTGTCTGTCTTTTCTGTTTGTCTATACATGTATGGGTGTCTGTTTCTTTGTCTGTATTTTTGTCTGTCCCTCTCTTTCCCACTCTTTCTTTCAAATGAAATTGAATTTGTAGTCAGGAATCTATTACACTAGAACAATGAAATGCGATGGTAGGACAAATTGGTTGAAAGCATTTAGTTACATTAACCCTTTCAGTGAGATTTCCTGCCCAAAAATTCTGTACAAATATTTTCAGAAATCCATCATCATTTTTGATCATATGAACATTTTAAGATATTACTCTTATTTTGTTATCAAAAGGTTTGTCAATTTATATCAACATTTCACATCCTAATAAACCATTTCCAACAGAATCCTTGAGTAGTTACAGCAAATTTTTCATGGTAACGATGTGTTGTATACATCTACTGTACTACACTATTATCACAAACACAACACCATTCTTAGTTGCCACAGTGGAGCTGTTCATATTACTGATTATCTGTTGCCTTCCATCATTTGAAGTTCATCGTCACCAACTTTCACATTTTCGACTTCTTCTTGAAACTTGTCAGCTTGTTTTGATATTTTGTTTATGTGTACATGTACCTTGGGTGGACCTCGCTCATATTTGTTCATACTATGAAGATATTTTCAAATCTCTAGTTTTGATGAATATTTTTGTCATTTTAATGAAAAGTGCTATTTTCTTGAAAAAAGCTTGCCCAATTACTTTTAAATTGATATTTCATATGAAGCGACCTTGGGTGGACGCCTGACAGATTTGTTCATGTAGTGGCAATATAAGCTTGTGATCAGATTTAAATTGAATTAAAGGTGCACTGGAATTAGACTAAAAACCACAAGTGTAAAATCAAATGTATTTTCTTCAAGTATTAT